GCTCCCGCACGAGACTTCTTCGCATTTGATTCAGGAATCGCGCTCTCGTTTGGGACTTCCTTACAATCTATTCAGGAATCGCTCTCCTGGCGCTCTGGAGTCGCGCTCTCGCTGGAGACTTGCTTGAAACTTTCTGAAGAATGGCCTTGCGTGGAATGTCTTGCAATTTGCCCAAGCGCCGCGCTCCCGACACCCAGGCACCCAGGAGTCGCGCCCGTTGTGGCCCCATGTGCATGCCCTTCGTGGCCCCGCTGTCGCCATTTGTGTCCCCCTCACTGTCCTACGTGGCCCAGTTGCTACCCTCAGTGGCCCCATAGTTGCCTTCTGTGGCCCCGCATTATCTGCACTTCGTGGCCCCCGCTCGTTCGCACTCTTCGTGGCCCCATACGCATTCCCTTCGTGTCCCCGCTGTCGCCCTTCGTGGCCTACTTCGTGCCCTTCGTGGCCCTGCTGTCGTTCTCTCTCGCTCTCGCTTTCGCTCGTCGTCGCCGTCGTCGTCGTCGTCGCCGTCGTCTTCGACGTCGTCGTCGTCGTCGTCGTCGTCGTCGTCGGTCCCCTGTCCGTCCCTCTTGGGGTCGGGTCGACGGTCCGCGGCCGCCCCGCCGATCAGCGCTGCCGCTGGCCAGGCCGACGGTCCGCGGCCGCCCCGCCGCTTGCCGAGGCCCGGCCTGCAGGAAAGAAAAGTATACCCCCCAAAAGGGGTTCGATCGAGGGTTTGGGAAATACGCGTTATTGGACACTCGAGCATATAAGGGCGAACCGTCTTAAAATTATTATTGTTGTTGTTGTTGTTGGTGGTTGTTGTCGTCGTCCCCCCCCGCGACCCACCCGCGACCCACTCCGCGACCCCACCCGCGACCCGCGACCCAACCCGCGCCCCACTCGCGACCCACCCCGCGACCCGCGACCCACCTGCGACCCAACCCGCGACCCACCCGCGACCCACCCCGCGACCCACTCGCGACCCACCCACGACCCACCCGCGACCCACCTGCGACCCAACCCGCGACCCGCCCGCGACCCACCCGCGACCCACCCGCGACCCACCCCGCGACCCACCCGCGACCTACCTGCGAC